AAAAAAAATATCTATATAATAAGTGAAATATGCACTTGTTTTACATCAACACAATTATTTCAATTATTATTGTCTCCGTGTGCGTGCGATGAACAGGATGTAGTCCCACCTTGTACCTCTTCTGCTACCAGGGTAGACTCCACATTGCCACAACTTAAGAGAACGCCAGGAAGGGTCTTTCCAATATTGGCTTGATGCAGGTAAGAACATACAGTAAGAAAAATTACAAATGAGAGGAAGGCATTTGGCCTTTAGTACTTATAGGATCCCATTATATCATCCAGGTGTGTCTTGAAGGAAGAAATGGTATCAGTTTCAACAACATGACTTGTTCCACACTCCCACAATCCTTTGTGTACAGAAGCACCTCTTCTTTACCTTCTGTGTCCCCACAGAACACATCCTCTGCTTGCATCCAACGTCCAGTGGGAATCCAGAAGCTTTGTATCGGGTGCCATCATACAGTAGTCTTCTCTGTTCAAGACTACACATACTAATTTCTAGTCTCGCCATTCCAGACTGTAATCAAATTATTTGCATATGAATTAATGATATATTATATACTGAGGCATAAAAATGCATATAATTCTTATTGAAACTTAAAAATTCCAGAATTTTAATGACTCTCATAATATGTAGTTATTTGTTACACTTATGCTTTTGATATATTCAGTATTCTTTGATGTGATACAGTAAATTCCGTAACATTTAAAAAAACATAATTTACACCTGCATTTCCTTTATTAAACTTTTAGTTACAGTTTATCCTGATATGAATACATTTTAATGCTAATGTGCATCAATCACTTCACATGGTGGACACCAAAAATGTTATTTTTTGATGCTATAGTAACATTCAGAAATATTTATTAATATATAACAACAGAGGTTGTGTTAGGGTTAGAGTAATGATGAATAGTTAATATGCATTTGAAAAATGACCATTAAATTATTATGAATGTTAATAAGTCGTATGTAGCCTTAGGGATATTTTATTCCTATAAAATCTTACCTTTTTTTTTTACTTTAAAGGGATCAAACTACCACCTTTGAAATGCAATTCAAATTAAATGTACATTTGAAGTAATCATTAAAAGTAGTAAAACATTTACACGAAGTAATCATTTTCATAAAAATCTTTGGGGTACGTCATCGGTTTGACAACAGCTACCTTGTCCGGCACAAAACTTAAACAGACTCTACGTCCGTATCCAGGCTCACAGAAGCTACAATATACTGTACGTATACACTATGTTAACAACGCAATAATTTATTTTTTCCATGTGGTTGTAATTTGAACATCAACCAAACGTCTGCTTTAGCTTTTTAAAACTTTAAATCTTAAAATTGTGCCCGGCAAATTGTAAAAAATAAGCCGGAATGTTGTAGTTCCGAGGTGTTAATTTTACACTGGTGGAAAATTATATAAATTTGCAACCTTTTCGCATTCCCATCATCGTTTCGGTGTTCCTTAGTAACCCTGGCAGCTTTCTCCCACGAATATATCATCATTCGGACTGGATTGCTTCGGCCTGGTTTCTCTTGTTTTTGTGAAATGAACTGACAGCAGCCGCGGGTCCGACGGCGAAACGGTGAGAATCATTTTTGAGATGAAAGTGATTACACATGACACACCTTTTCTTGACAGGATCGCACATCTGTTGTGGTAAACGAACATGTGTTCTGGTCATGCATGGGTAAATGACGGATGATACAAACGAGTCTGGTTAATGTTGTTTTTTTTCAGGCCGCGGCCCTGAAAACAATTCTTGGAAAATAAAAGCTTTAATGGCAGTCTTTCCGTTCCCCTGCGCGGGGTTGGAAGGGAAAGGGGGTAGTGGGTTTGTATTGAGTCGCTATTCTGTGTCTGGATGCTGATGGTTAAAAACTCGACATGTTGCATTAGCTATAGTGTCCTCAAAGACTGGAAATCCAAATAGCATCGATACAGTACAGCAGCAGGGAAGATGCGACACTAATTCATCCACAGTAGGAATGCGAGTGGGTTGATCGCTTTTCCCAGGGAGTGTAAACCATCTTCCCCACAGACTGGAACTTTTGCCATAATTAGGGAGCACCAGTACCCTATGTGCCTGGTTTGTTTTTAGATTGCGTTTATGCCGTCGCTAGTATGTTATCGGGTGTTTCGGCAGTTTTCCGTCTTCGGTTTGTGACGCCCAGCGGTTTTACAGCATGCCGAAGTGCGGCATTAGCGCTGGCTGCTCAGATTAATTCCCCTTCACAAAGCGTTTCCCCTGCAACGGTCAATACACTATTCACATGAGGTGAAGGTGATAAGAAATCTCCTTTTTTTGTGCTGTGTAATTAAGTGTAGTTATTAGGCTCCATACATTTTTTTTTTTATTTTCATATAAACTGTGAGCACTGGGATATTAGAATTCATGCTGTAAATAGGATGTGCATTCGAAAAGGTGTCATTAATCAAGGAGTGTGGAGGGTCTTGTGCTATAGAGTAGCGTGGAGCATCGACCCAAGTGTCTCTTTTGAGTGTTAAAAGTCAAATACATCTCCTCAAATGACACCATTTCCATTGCTTATTCTGATTGGACTGTGACTGGATGTCCGAGGTTGTTTGAATTGGCATACAGTACGAAACTTAGTGCGATTAGGAAATACAACCCGAGGACTGTTGTCTGTCCTCTTTCACATATTACTTTCTAAGTCAGATGGACACTTCCAGCCTGATCATGTCCAGTTGCTGCTGTGCAGAAAGATGTGCATGTCTCATGTTGTTGGAGAGTTTACTGTTATTGCCGTTTCTAAAGTTGCAGTATGTTTGCTACAAATTCTAAATCCTAAGTACAGTATTTCTTAGTACAGATCCTGGTTTCCGTTCAGTATCCACCCCCGTACTCGCGCCCACACTGACATAAAAACTGTACACGCACGCTTGAAAGCCTGACCTATATTAGTGTTCCTATGTTTGTAAATGTTTGCTCATACAGATGGTTGAACAGACATTCTCTTGAGCTTTTTGAAATAGACACATGTGAGCTCTACCATGCAATGTTAGTCTCACGCATACAGTTAGTGACCCCTGTTCTCTGCTTTCGGAGAGAACTTTGCTACTCGCAAACACACATACACAAACTAACAGGGTTAACAGAACAGAGGAAAGGCCATCTTATACAGTTTTTTGTCTCATCAAAACTTAATTAAAGCCTAAATAACTGTCGGCTTAGAAGAATACATTTGCGTAGTATTTTAAGCGCCAGTGAGGGTCACAGAGGTGTTGGCTACTTTCTTCATTTCCAGGAGCGGCTGGCTAAGGTTTCAGCTGATTTAGGCCAATTCTCATAAATACAGGGCATCAAATAAACAGTCGCTTACTTCTGTTGACTCATCGTTTGAAAGAGAATCGTTTTGGTTACGTGCCATGGCTTTGGAAGAGATGCGCACGAAGCTTTCTGGCGGGGGTTTTTTTCTCACATCTGCAGCTTCCTTTGTTTGCAATGGGAAAGAATTCCAGGCAGCGCTGTGGTGCTGGTTGGATGTCTACTGTGTCACAGGACGGTTTCTTCACTCTGGGAATGACGTCCAATCTGTTTGAGGCTGCACATTTTTCCTTGCGCGCTCACGGGCGATGGATGTGAACGCTGACCAAAGATAGATTCAGCGACTGGACTATTCACACAATGATTAATAGCACCTAGTTTTACAATGGGACAGTTCTGGTGTGTTGTTTAAATCAGTTCTCTTGCTAACCACTATGAAAAGGTGAATCATGCTAAGCATTGCCATACAAAGCATTCAGTACGTCATTCAGTGTGCTGTTACTCTTTTGCTGTCATTCGTAATCAAAAACAGGGAAAATACTGGGGTAGGTCCTTTCTGTATTGGGAACCAAAAACCACTGTTTGGTAAGGTTTGCTTTTTTACTCAAAGACTGCTGGCTGGGGTTTGTTCCTGGAAAAAGATTTGGCTCATCTCTCCTACTGTAGAATCGTAGACACAAAAAGATTTAACTCTTTGATTGTAATGTCCCTCACAGTACTCAGTATTGTCTGGGAAGCTATTATTATTATGAATGTTTTGTCATTTAAATTCATGTCACTAACAAAACATATGGCATCCTGGTGGGTCTGGCTGATACTGTTTTTCATTTAAAATCTTCTAATGGCAGTTTTCCTTTATATAATGTTTCTGAAATTTGTAATACTCCTACTGTATGTGCTGCACATGTGTCTAAATGCATGCTCTGTTTGTTGCCACATTTCCTCCAGTCATTTTTAGGTACTGTACGTACAGCCCAGCAGGGTCCTCACCTGAGATGTTGATAAAGGAGTCTGTTCCTCTGCTACTGCACCGGGCACAGTTTGCCTCTTGACCTAGGACGTAGTTGCTGTAGGCAGGATCACTGCTGTTAACAACATTCATTTCAACAATATTTACGATAGTGAAATTCTTTTAGTCGTGCAACACCAATATAACAGTCATCAGTAAGTTAAACTACAATAACTTATTGTAGGATGATCTAAACCATACCAGTGATTGTGATATCTCTCATTTGGTGAAGTGATAGCTACGTGTTGTGTCACAATGTGTTTGGGTTGCAGTCATTGACTTGTGATTTATTTCAATTTCATTAAGATTCTGAGAGCACCTTGTAAGTCTTTTGTGTAGCACCTTGTTCCATACATCTTACCCATTTCAAGTGATGGCTTTGACTAACCATCTGCGTATGACATTTTCTTTCATTCTTGAACTCCCATAGTCTCGTATTGTTTTGCTCGTTCTTTTGATATTTCAAGCATATTGGATCAAAAAGCAGATGAAGATTAAATCAGATGCTTGCGTTTTCTTGAATAAGCCTTTCTTCAGGATGTGAACATGCGAGAAAAGAGAAAGAAACATGCAGCTGTGTTACTGTTTTTTGAGCAGAAGAAAACTGATTGTGAATTGTGAAGCGCTCAGGTGTATTGGATAGTGTTGAATAGTTAGCAGTTTTAATTGTTTGGTCATTTCAAAGAAGCACTTTCTCTTTAGAGTCAAGGACTGGTGTTATACCACACTATTTTAAATATATAAATAGAAGTTTATATCATATTTATGTCTATAAAATATTATTTTTATTACATTGATAATTTAAAAGGTAAATTTCCATTTCAAGCAATAAAATACAAACTAGGGAGTGAAGAGGAATTTGCTATGTTCCATTCTGATTCAACAAGTGCTTTTATTTATGTCTCTGCTATGTTTGTGGCATTTTCTGGTACATTCATAATATAAAATTGTGCCACATTTTTGTTAAATTAATCCTTATATAGAACACAGATGCATATATCAGAAGCACATTTCTTTCTCTTTTCTGACATTTGTTCTGACACTACTTTATTTATTTAAGAATGTTTACTGTTAATCTCAACAAAGAGCAGCTCCTCGTCTCCTAACGGCTTGTCAACTACAGTAGAAAGATAATCATTTCTGCTGCAGTATCTTGACATAAACATCAATGACACATTCATGTTGTTTTGTTTCATATGACCATAGTAAATTTGAGTATTCATAGTAGTCTTCATACACTTGATAAATCTTGACTAGAAGTTGATTTAGTAAAGAGACACAGGGATACATTAAGCTTATTCAACATTTATGAATTAAAATGTAATTTAAATGTATAAAAAAAGAGTACTGGAAAAATCTGAAGCATGTATTCAGCTGCAAAACATAATTGCTTATTTCTAAACCCATAGTGTGCCGATGTTCATGCTGGTAAATATGTTGGATGTACAGGTACAGTACATGTTATTACTGTTATGTTGTTATTCATCTGCTAGTGTTGCAAAGCCACAGAGTGTTTATAGTTCTGAGAGTTACCTTGATTGGCGTTAGTTATTAAAGTAGACTGAACAGGCAAAACACTCACTACTATAGAATCATGGTGATAGCCAAGAGAATTCTCCAGAGATATAAGATAGCATCTTATCAGTCCAATCTTATCATACATTCTAACTGCAACAGCAAACACATACTGTAAGACCTGTTTCAACTCTGGTGTCAATCACCAAAAAGTTCAAGTGATGTGAACCCACCAGTAAAAGGTGAAGGTTTAGGTAAGAAAGCATTACTCAGATGTGCAGTAAAAGTGATTTGGGAGGATAACTCACACCCAAGGGTGCAAAAATAAGGAATCTTAAAAATCTGGTATCATCATGATACAGTATTGTTCAGATTGGCCTGGGGAATCTGGAGCCCATGCCAGAATTCCAGTCCAGCATACTTTAAAAACACATGACATGAAGTTGCCAAGCAGCAGCTACAAGTATATGACCCCAGTCATAATGCGGTTGGGTGAAACTGAGCTTTTGGTCTCACCACAAATATAAGAACATTTGAAAGGTTAAAGATAAGTGGAGGTCATTCAGCTTGTCTAGCTTGTTTGGCTACTGATGATCTGGGGTTCTCAACCAGCTGTGTTCTTGAAAGAACCCAGGGTGTCATCTTCAACAGTATGGCTGAATAGCCTGTTCCACTAACCTACCACCCTTTAGGTAAACAATTACCTCCTGATCTCAGTTCTTAATGCGCTTACTTTACCTGTCGTTTCCCTCTAGTGTCCTTTAGTTCGTCC